AGAATATTGTTTAGTTAAATATAGTTTGTTCCACACAACACAAAAATTTGTTTGATTCAACCAAATCATTTTATTTGAGTTAAACAAACATATTTGCTTGTCTCAAAAAGTACATGTGTGAATTTAAAAATGGCGATCTCACTTGTCTACAAACCGCGTTCGCGTCAAATTTATTTGTTAAATCGGTAAATTAAAGAAAAAAATTATAAGTGTCGGTTAAATAAATACATTGTGTTCATTTTAGACTTACTGCATATTTAATTTGTACCAGTGAGAAGAATATTTACAAAAAGGTTTTGTGAAGTTTTCAGTTTGTTGTTTCGAATAAACTTTTTTCTGAGTGCACGTATAAAAATCATAATTATAATATGTTTAATGTAATATTTCAAATGTTTTTTTATAATTAAATAATTTTGTTTATATGAAGAAATACATATATAATATTTTACTTAATTGTTATTTATTTTCCTCTAATAATGTTTGAGTTTCCTAATTTAATATTTTCTAGTATACATATTATTGGTTAATTTATAATTTATTATATGTATAATTTTAAAATATCAATAATTATATAATAAATTATAAATTAACCAATAATACGTACTAGAGAATATTAAATTAGGAAATTCAAATATTATTAGAGGAAAATAAATAACAAAATTAAGTAAACAAAAATATTTATTTAAATGAACCAAATACGTTTACTAAAACTATTTATTTGAATCAAACAAATCTTTTCTCTTGAAATAAACAAATTTTTTAGTTATATTAAATAAAATTTTTTGGTTAAGTGTAATAAGCATTTGGTTAATACAAATAAACGTATTGGAAGAAATTTTTTGGTTGAATCAAACAAACGTTTGGTTGACTGTATAGCAATGCATTTATTTGGTTGATTCAACCAAAATTTGGTTGATTCGAACAAATTTTTTTCTGAGTGTACAAATCTAATGTTAAAATTTTATTTTTCAAATTATCCGATCCACTATGACGGATTCAAAATTATGATTTTCTACATTTTTAAGTAAATAGTCTAAATATTAATTTATAGATTAATATTTACAAAAAATAATTATTGGGATGTTTTAGAAACTCTTTTATAGAAATTTAACTTTTTATACCTCTGCTCTTTAAAATCGATTATTAAAGGAATATTTAAAAAAAATTTGAATCCGCCATGCCATATTAGATTCGGTAATTTAAAAAATAAATTTTTAACATTAGATTCGTAAATAGCGCTTCCAAATATCGCCCTTGACGTTGTTTTAGAATATTTACTTCGAAAATGTAGAAAATTAAAATTTTGAACCTGCCATATTGGATCCAAAATTTTGAAAATTAATTTCTAATATCAGATTCATGATAAACGATCGAAAATAGCCCCGAGTAAGAAATTTTTTTGAATTTTTGACAACACTTATGTGTTAAAACCTTGGATATATTGTGGTGCATTTTTATGACCCACTTTAATCATCCGCCATTTTAAAAATTTTTCAAAATTAAATTTTTGGCAAAGTGCTATCTTATAGTGCAGCTAAAAATAAAGGCAAATGTGACCTGGAGAATTTTTTGCATGAAAATTAAAAAAGTTATGAATTTTTTTTTAAAAAGTGCATTTTTCCTATGTATTTTTAATGGGAAATTTCGATGGATCTCTGGCACGTGTTAATATTAATCAATCGGCTTCAAATTTTGGGAAATTTTTTTTTATTTTATTGGAACTAAACTGGGGGGTGGCGTAAACAAAATTCGAAAGTCGCATTGTTACGGACACCCTATTGTGCACGTTTGTACGCTCGCTTCATATTCCGCCTCGCTACGGAGTTTAATTCCGCGGTACGCGCTCCCACTAAAGTCGAAATATCTCGAGAACTATTAGAGTCTCCATAAATTTTTTTTTATGAAATGAAAGGTGAAATTACAAGGAATCGATATTTACTTATTAGAAAATTCAAAAATTAGGCCAACTGAACTAAAAATTAATTCAAAAAATTTTTTTGACTTTTTTTTTGACAAATTTTGGAAATTTTTTTTTGTTCATAATATCAAATTAAACTACGTATTTTTAACTATATCGCCTGTAAATTTTATTAAAATCGATCAAAAAGTTTCAGAGTTATTAATTTTTGAAAAAAACGCAACACTCATTTTCAATATGGCGTAGCGGCCGCCATTTTGAAAATTTTTCAAAATCCTTTTAGGGTTAAATTTAATTCATATAATCTTCTATTTCCCAAGGTTTCGAAGAAATCGGAAGACCACTTGCAAATCGCTTTTTTTCTGACGGAGTCTTACCCATGTAGTAACACTTATATCCTGAAATATTTGTATTTAAAAAACTTATAAAATAAAATTGAAAAAACTCAGGTCTACAAAATAATACAAAAATATAAAATGAAAATACGAAGACATTAAATAATAATTTATAAACATTAAAAACAATAAATAAAAAAACAAAAAAGAAAGAAATATACGAAGACTTAAAATGATAATTTAACAGAACATAAATAAATAAAACAAAATTAATAAATAGAACAAAAATTAAAAATTAAAAAAAAATAAAAAATAAAACAATAATTAAAATGAACATAAAAGTCACTTTAAAGAAAACAATAAAAATATCTTACCAATAAAATGTTTTACATTACATGTCAAAAGAATTAAAGGATTTTTAATCCAAAAATTGGAATGTAACATTTGGAGTTAGTAACTGAAATTTATAGAAAACATTAATTAACAAAAATGTTAATGTTAATGGGAATTTAAGTTAATTAATAGATAAAAAGTTGAATAAAAATAAAATATAAAAGGATAATTGAATTAAAGAAAAAAATTAAATAAAAGAATCATAAATATACAATTATAGTAAAATAAGAACAATATTTATTTAAGATACTTATACGGGCAAAGCCCTTAATACAAAAAACGGTTATAAAAATAAGTAAGTACTGTCGCAAATTAGTTTATCAATAAGACTTGTTTTCGCAAATTATTAGTAAATATGTTCTCGTTTTGCTCAAAGACATCAATTCGATCACAATATTCATTCATCTTAGCAGCCATTCTAGAGATAGCTGAGTTTTTACCATAGTTAGTTCTATGGGGTGGTTCGCGAATTAAATTGTAAGAACGTAAATTTACAGGTGAAGCAAATAAGTTCACCTTCGATACCAATGCTGTGCAATTAACAGAACCCTTAATTATTTTATAAAAAAATAACAAATCTGTATATAAAAAACGCGCTGACAACTTTGGAATACTCAAGGCCATTCTGATATTAGTGTAATCATGACTATTTCGTTCATAAAAAATACCCAAACAATACGCAACAAATCGAAGAAAGCGATTCTGGACTCTTTCAATACGTTGAATGTGCACCTCATAATAGGGGAACCAGATTGAAGAAGCAAATTCCAATATTGGCCTAACCAAAGAAAAAAATAATATTTTAAAAACTAATGGTTTTTTAAAAAGACCTGCGTTTCTGGTGATGAAGCCAAGTACCTTAAGAGCTTTGCTCACTATAGACGAGATATGTTCGTTAAAGGACAATTTCTCATTAAATATAACGCCAAGGTCACGTATAGTACTAACTCTGGAGAGCTCAGTGCTGCCTATTAAATATTTGTGTCTAATTAAAAGTATTTTCTTAGAGATAGATAAAATCGAACATTTTTTAATATTTAAACTGAAGTTATTATCATCACACCAAGTCATTAAACCATTTAAACTAAGCTGCAGCCGCTCAAAATCCTCATGCGCATGAATTACCCTATAAATTTTAAGGTCATCAGCATACAAGGAAAATGAGCAATCGTTGAGGACGGTACAAATATCATTAATGTGAAGAACAAACAGCAGAGGGCCCAATACGGAGCCTTGAGGCACTCCAGAGAATGAAAGCGTTAGAAAATTCATAGTTAACTCTTACAACATGAGGTCGATCTGAGAGATAGTCAATAATTAATTTTAAAAAATTGCCATGAACTCCCATGTTAATTAGCTTCTTCACCAAAACACCATGATCAACTCTATTAAAGGCCTTCGCAAAATCTGTATAAATAATGTCAATCTGGCTTCCCGATTCGAGAGCACAAATTACATCATCAAGAAAAATACACAAATTAGTATTTATTGATCTTCCCCTGACAAAACCATGCTGTTCATCAATTATCACACCTGAAACTGATGCATAAAGTGCATCTGCAATTAAGCTTTCATAAATTTTGGCAAATGTTGAGAATAAAGTAACAGGACGATAATTTTTTACATCATTTACCGAGTCTGATTTGTAAATAGGAACTATTATACCTTTTTTAAATTCGTATGGAAATATACCAGAAGTGAATGATTTGTTAAATAAAATGTACAGTGGTTTGACAAGAGATAAACAGCACGACCTGACAAGGAAAGGTGGTACACCATCAGGTCCTGAGCCCTTATTTACATCAAGTGAAATTATCTTTTTTAAAATGTCAGTCTCGCTAAAGGTTGTAGCGGCGATGTCAACAATATTTTTAAAGTTAGGATCAGGAATATAATTATTACGGGTTTCAGTAAGATACACTGACCCAAAATTTTTTGCAAATAAGTTTGCCATGTTTACATTATCACTCACCACAGTTTCATTGAGAAAGACTTCCCCCGGCATACCACCCTTCTTACGACGAGAGTTGACAAATCCCCAAAACTTTTTCGGGTTGTTTATTAATGTATTTTCAGTATTTGAAATATAATTCAAGTAACATTGGCATGATAATAATTTACATTGCTTTCTTAGTTCTGAGAAAATACCATAATCTATCATTGAGCCAGATCGCTTAAAATTTGAATGCGCAATTTTCTTTTTCAAGACAAGTTTCTTTAAGTCACTCGTAAACCAAGGTAGAAATTTACAGTTGTGTGAAGTTTTAAGTGGGACATATAATTCAAAAGACGAATACAATTTAGAATAAAAAATTTTAAATGCGTCATTTACATTAGGAACATTTAGTACACTCATCTAATCAATATCATTTAAGTATAAATTAATGGCCGCCATGTCAGCGTTTTTAAAATTATAAGATAATAGACCAGAATGAGAGTCTTGAAAATTGTCAGTAGTTTCAATATTATTCAAATGCAGCATTAGTAATAGAGGAGGGTGAAAATTGTCAACGGGTAATAAAGGATCATAGCTTAAATTAATGTCGAGTTCAGAAAAATTACAAAAAACTAAGTCTAAAATAGATCCAAAAGTATTAGGGATTTTATTAATTTGCGAAAAGTCTAGAAAATCCAAAGTATCAGAGATAACATTCGCAATATCTTTATGCAATTTAATTGAACAATTGAGTTTAGCTGTACAAGAGGGTTCATTTTTATTATTATTATTCCAGCTAATAAAAGGTACATTAAAATCTCCCACAATACATACAGGGTTTTGTGACTCAGGTATTAGCAAATCTTCAAATGTTCGACATAAACAACTAAAAGTGTCAAGGGATGCGCAAGGAGGAATGTAGAACGCACCTATAATTAAAGAAAAATACCCAATCTTCACAAATAAATGTTCAATTGTTTTACAGTTCGTAGATAATAATACTGCATTAAGATGCCTTTTAACTGCCACAAGAACTCCACCTCCACGAGAACCCTCTCCTGTCAAAACATTTCTATCGAATCTAAACACATCATAATTATCAAACGAAAGTTCCTGAGTATCAATACAGTCATTCAACCACGTTTCCGTAAGCACAATACAATCATAGTCAGCTGACCGAACCGACACACGTAGATCTTGAAGTTTTGTACGTACTCCCCTCACATTCTGATAGAAGAGAGAGAAATTGCGCACGCAGGAAACTGTTGGTGTGTGTGTTTCACGCTGTGTATCATTACAGATGATCACATCCTCAGTCTTACTGCTGCCTGGTTTTGGGTCAATGTTTTCTGATTCGATTTTACTTTTTGACAACGTGCCTCTTTTTCCACCTTTTTCGCTTTCATTTCCTCGATTTGTGTTTTTGTTCGGTCGAAAGTCATCCAAAGTTTGTCCAGTCTTTCCTGAATAGCAGGGGTATTTTTTGCTATCCAAAAATCTTGATGAATTTGGTTGGCTGTCACTTCTGAGTCGCAAATTAACTTCACAGGTCTCGGTTTCTGTTCCGTCTGTTCAGGAGAACCAAATCTTTTAAATTTTACATTTGAAAACAAGTTAGGTGAAATCGAATTAGACAATAAATTAATAAAGACAATCTTGTCACTATGAACTTCAGAGCTTTCAGATTCAGTTAAACCGTGCAAAATAAGGTTCCTCTTGCGACGAATTCTATCCTCATATTCCTTAATGCATGCACTTGTATTGTCAACATGCATTTTTTTTAGACGAGCATCTAGTGAATCAACTTTACCTCTTAACTGCGTTACATCTCCATCAAGAATATCAACTTTTTCCTCAGCGGAGTCAATACGTAAAATGGTATTATCCAGTTTGGAGTTCATGGAATCAAGTTTAACTGCTAGTCCATCAACAGCAGATCTGATAATCTGATAATTAAGTATAGGATTAGAAATAAAAGTTAGAAATAATTAGAAATAAAATTTAAAAAAAAATTTTAAAAAACATACCAAGGAAACGTACTCCATTGTTAAAAACAATCATATAAATAATAAAAAATAATACACAAAACAAATAAATAAACAATAAAAGAATCAACAATTTACAATGAATAATAATACATATGTAGAGTGTTAATTGCTTGAAAAAATATTTTTTGAACGCACTGATTATTTTATTATAATTTATTAAAATAAAACGAGACAATATAGCCACTACGTATTTGTAGACAGGAACATATTAAAAACATTAATTTAGATAAGAAATATCATAACGTCTTGACTTCACAATTTACACCTGTTATTTTATTTTATTTTCAGTGGTTTTTCTCATTGTAAATTTTTTATTCTTTTATTGTTTATTTATTTGTTTTGTGTATTATTTTTTATTATTTATATGATTGTTTTTAACAATGGAGTACGTTTCCTTGGAATGTTTTTTAAAATTTTTTTAAAAATTTTATTTATAATTATTTCTAACTTTTATTTCTAATCCTATAGTTAATATTGTTCTTATTTTACTATAATTGTTTATTTATGATTCTTTTATTTAATTTTTATCTTTTAATTCAATTATCCTTTTTTATTTTATTTTTATTCAACTTTTTATTTATTAATTAACTTAAATTCCCATTAGCATTAACATTTTTATTAATTAATATTTTCTATAAATTTCAGTTACTAACTCCAAATGTTACATTCCAATTTTCGTATTAAAAATCCTTTTATTCTTTTGACATGTAATGTAAAACATTTTATTGGTAAGATATTTTTATTGTTTTCTTTATAGTGACTTTTATGTTCATTTTAATTATGTTTTTTTTTGTTAATTTTTTATTTTTGTTCTATTTATTAATTTTGTTTTATTTATTTATGTTCTGTTAAATTATCATTTTAAGTCTTCGTGTATTTCTTTCTTTTTTGTTTTTTTATTTATTGTTTTTAATGTTTATAAATTATTATTTAATGTCTTCGTATTTTCATTTTATATTACCATGAAATATTGCTACATGCTTATTACGAACTGTTGCTGCAAGTGTGTTGCAAGGTTGATACAAGCTTGCTGCAATTTCTTAAAAAGTTTTCAAATTTAAAACAATTATTTTTATTGCTTCCTCATAGAAGAAGTATTGTAATACCAAAATTTTTCGAGTTCGATTTTTTGACATATCTTTATGTTATTTGACCTCAGGAGTTCAAAAATGACATTTTTAAAAAATGTCATTCCGTATGTGTGTGTGTGTAAACATTACATTTTCAAAAATATCTCGAAATCATGAATAGCTTTTGGGTTGAATTTTTTTTAAATTGGAGGTCTCATCTGCGGCCATAAAATGAGAAAACTTTTAGACAGATTAATATGGTTTAACTACATTTTTTTTATTTTTAATTTTGCAATAAAACGACTTTTCCCCATATCTTTAAAAAGATGTTAGGACACCTATAAATGTTTCTTCATAATTTTGTAGATTTTAAACATTAAAAACCTAAAATTTTGGGAAATAAGACTTTTTTAAAAATTTTGTTGAAAAATGTAAAAGTAACTTTAAAAGTATCATTACAAACTTGTAGAGCATTAAAAAATGCTTCTATTGACCTACTTTTGAACCTAATTCAATAATAAATTTCGAAATTATTGTTTTTTTAAAAACCAAAAATTGTGGAAAATGATGTTTTCTTAACTTTTTTGTTTGAAAACCTTTCTGTAACTATTAAACTATTATAACTGCCTTGTAGGGTTTTAAAAAATACATTGATTTATGCAAAATTTAATCACTTTTACTATATTTATAAAAAGTTAGTCATATGTTTCTATTATTATTATTATCTCTGTGAGGAAGCAAAGTGTTCCTGAAATGAGCACCAAAATTATAACAAAAATACTTATACAACTTGGCGCACGGTGCTTTTTAAACTGATTTAACTGAAAGGTTCTGGCACCTGGAATTTTCTTCCTGATTTCGATTCTAGATCACAAGTACATCATTTTCCAACAAAAACGAAAATCTTCTGTGGAGCCGTTTTTAAGAAAAGTTGATTTAAAAATTCAAAACAACGAAAAGTCAGCTTTTCTTCAAGAAATATATATTTGAGAAAGAATATCATCAGAAAAAACTTGTAGATATTAAAAAAAGTAATTTTTTATGGTTACTAATTCAGATTTTAAAAATGAAAAATGCTGGATCCAATATGGCTGACAAGTTTTTAAAATTTTTTGGATTTTTACTTTTCTTGGTATCTAGGGGTTTTCGGAGTCGCTGATTACAAATCAGAAATCAGCATTTAAGAATTCAAAATGGTAAATTCAATATGACGAACAAGTTCTTGAAAAATTTCCCGAATTCACACGAAACGTGATAATTGGGGGTTTCAAATTGCGGATATTAGGGACCAATATTGCAAACAAGTCATTAAGAACCCCAAAAAAACACACAGTAACAGGCTTCGTGTGAATTCGAAAGATTTTTTAAAAACTTGTTTGCAATATTGGATTCGCAATTTGGAATTCTGAAATCCTGACTTCAGAATCATTATATGAAATCACTAAAACCCCTGAGCAACAGGTTTCGTGTAAATTCGATAGATGTTTTAAGAACTTGCTTGTCATTTTGGATCCTGCATTTTGAATTCTAAAATTCTGATTCGTAATCAGGGACTTAAAAAACTCCTGAGCAACATTTTTTGAGTTTTTTCGGATGTACCGTAACTTTAAACTACTGTAGATAAAAACTGTACATTTAACCCATTTTAAATCATAATAAAACAATTTTCGAAAAAATGACCGCCATATTAGATTTTGAAATTCTGACTACAAATTTGAAATCAGCGACCCCGAAAACCCCTAGATTCCAAGTAAAGTGATAATCCAAAAAAATTAAAAAATTTGTCTGCCATATTGGATCCGACATTTTGCATTTTTAAAATCTGACACCAGATGCGTAATCAGCGACCTTAAAAAACGCCGACAAACAAGTTTGAAACGAATCTAATCAATTTTAAAAAATTTGTATGTTACCAAAATTATTACATAAAATCTAACATGTTTTTTGGTGTTAGAAAAAAATCTTGACATGAAGGAGCAAATCAGACTTCAGATTCGTGTTCAGCCTACCAAAATACATAGGGTTATCGTACTATGATCTTTTGCGCAGGATACTTTTTTTGGGGTTGTGTTTTATTTTATATTATGTTATATTTATACATGTTTACATAATTATAAATTACATAATATGTTACATAATATATAACTGTATTGTAACATTTTCCTAGATTATAAAATGTTACATTTCATTATTATTAAAAACTGTGCGAAAATAAAATTCTTAAAGCAAGTTGTTTCATTTTAACTAGTTTTTAATAAAGAAAAACTGAAAGCACATGCAAAAGGTTAGTTTTCTTCGTCTCTGACGTAAACTATTATAATTTTATAGGTATAGGACATTGGTAATCATATAAAAATTGCTTTTTAATGTATACAAGTTTTTTCTGATGATATTCTTTCTTAAATGTGTATCTGAATTTTCGTTATTTTGAATTTTTAAATCAACTTTTCTTAAAAACGGCTCCACAGAAGATTTTCGTTTTTGTTGGAAAATGATGTACTTGTGATCTAGAATCGAAATCAAGAAGAAAATTTCAGGTGCCAGAACCTTTCAGTTAAATCGGTTTAAAAAGCACCGTGTAAAATTAAATTTTATTTTTTTATTATTTTTTTTTTTTATTTTTTTTTTTATTTTTTTATTTTTTTATTTATTTATTTATTTTTTTTTTTATTTTTTTTATTTTTTTTTTTTTTTTTTTTTTTTTATTTTCTTTCTGGCGTCAACTTTTTTGCGGCAGTCTTGCGCTCTAAGCTTGGCAAGATTACATGGATAGCTTGCTGCAATCTAGCCGTAAGCTTACGTGTTATCTGGGGAAATTTGTGAAAATGATATTTTTCACAAGAATTTCTTTTTTTTTTAAATACCAATAATTTCGTAATTTCTGACCGAATCTGGTTCGAAAATAGGTCAATCGAAATGTTTTTTAATGCTTTACTAGTTGGTAACGATACTTTTAAAGTTACTTCTACATTTTTTAACAAAATTTTCAAAAAAGTTATATTTTCTAAAATTTAAGATTTTCAAGTTTCATATTTCCAGTCAAAATAAACGAAAAATGTGCAACGAGGGCTCAAAAATTGAAGCCTAAAGCTCTTTTTGGTTTTGAGATATTGAAGCAAATGTAATGTTAGTGCACACACACATCCAGACATTTTAAAAAATACGTTTTTTGGACTTCTGATTTGTCTAATTACATTGAAATATGTCAAAAAATCACAATCAAAAATTTTGCCAATACTTTTTTGCCTCCTCTAGGAGAAATAAAAATAAGAATAATGTACTTGAATTTGACTGATACATAATAATAATAATAATAATAATAATTAGTGTAATCATGACTATTTCGTTCATAAAAAATACCCAAACAATACGCAGCAAATCGAAGAAAGCGATTCTGGACTCTTTCAATACGTTGAATGTGCACCTCATAATAGGGGAACCAGATTGAAGAAGCAAATTCCAATATTGGCCTAACCAAAGAAAAAAATAATATTTTAAAAACTAATGGTTTTTTAAAAAGACCTGCGTTTCTGGTGATGAAGCCAAGTACCTTAAGAGCTTTGCTCACTATAGACGAGATATGTTCGTTAAAGGACAATTTCTCATTAAATATAACGCCAAGGTCACGTATAGTACTAACTCTGGAGAGCTCAAGTTTCATATTTCCAGTCAAAATAAACGAAAAATGTGCAACGAGGGCTCAAAAATTGAAGCCTAAAGCTCTTTTTGGTTTTGAGATATTGAAGCAAATGTAATGTTAGTGCACACACACATCCAGACATTTTAAAAAATACGTTTTTTGGACTTCTGATTTGTCTAATTACATTGAAATATGTCAAAAAATCACAATCAAAATAAGAATAATGTACTTGAATTTGACTGATACATAATAATTAACCCCATACAACACCGAAGATTTCCTGAAACTTGACAGGACCTTGCCCAGCGAGTTTAGAAACATTGAGTAGCGATGTTCATGGAAGAATGTGTGAATATTGAAATGTCCACATAAAAGGAATATTAAATGTCAACCTTTAGCGAAAATTATACTGCAAATATTGACTTGCGATGTTCACACGGAGAAAAATAAATTGTACACGGAAAAGTTTTTAGGTTAGCAGCTGTATCAGTTGTGGTTGCCGCTGCGCGACTTTAACTAAAGTAGAGAGGCATCCCCAGTTTGATAAAGCAGGGAGTGCTGCTCGCCCGGTGCGGTCAGCACAGCTCTCTTAAGGCGGTGTCAAAGTCGATTGGATTTTTGCATTGAGCTTCAATGGAAAAATCGCATCGACTTTGATACCGCCTTAAGAGAGAAAGCGGAGCACCCAAATTGTGAAAAGTATTTTTTTCTAATCGTGGAACGGCAGCTCACCCAAAAACTTTTCCGTGTAATAATTATACTATTTTCGATGTGAAATTACTACTTTCAAGTAGTAATTTTGAAACTGCTCAAGAAATAGTAACTTTTGCTTCGTTTTCAAACGATTTTTACTTTTTTAAAAAAGTATAATTTATTCTAACTTTGGAGTGAAATTGTGAAAAAATTAATGCAGCTAGAAAGCTTACTTTGGTATTTGCGTACTTTGATATTTTCAAATTTGGAAATTATTTATATTGGAAATTATTATTTTGGAACTTTTTCACTTTGGAACTTTTTTAAATTGGACATTTTGTATATTGGGACTTTTTCATATTGGAACTTTTGGATTGTAACTTCTGGTTTGGAACTTTTAAATTGTAACTTTTGTCCTACAATCCGAATGGGCACTGCCCGTATAAATGTTATAAATAAATAAATGAAAATTTCGATGTACTTTGACCTCAGAAGTCCAAAAAACGGATTTTAAAAAAATGTCCCGATCTGTGTGTGTGTGTGTACTAACATTACATTTGCCTCAATATCTCAGAACGAGAAAGAGATAAAGGCTTCAATTTCTTTAAATTGTAGGTCTCCCTGGGGGACATAAAATGAGAGTATTTTCAGCCCGATTCATAAAGTTTAACTGTATTTTTTTCATTTTGTAAAAAAACCTTTTTTTAGCTTCGATTAACCTATTTGTGAATCTGATTTTATAAAAAGTAATTCATATATTTCAATTATTATTATTTCTATGAGGAAGCAAAGTGTTCATGAAATGAACACCAAAATTATAAAAATGTACAACTTGGCAGCGGTTTTTATATTTACTTTATTTATATTATTTATTTTTATTATTTTATTATTTCCTTAAGTTGCAAGCTGTAAACAATAAAGGATCAATTTTCCGTAACTCTGAACATGTTATTTTATTTTTTAACGGTAATGCCGTTTGAATTTCAAACATGGACCGACCTTGACTGGAAGGGACAACCTGGGCTACAAATTTTCTTTTTTTGAAATTTTTATAACTTTTTCATTTTTAAATCAATCAATTTACTTTGTACAGAAAAAATGGTCCTATTGAACAGGACTTTCAAACAATATACTTCAATTGACCAAATTCATTTTTAAAAAAAGTTATAAACAAAAGTCAAAAGGTGGTCCGACCTTGACTACATACTCCCCTGGATATTTAGGTAAATAAAATAATACTACTGTCAAAAAATATATTGATTACCCCTAAATACATAATAATTGACAGAAACCAATAATTATATTTCAACCCTTAAAGCGCACACTTACACGGAAAAAATTTTTTCAGGAAAGGTTCCCGAACTGCACCTGAACGGAGAAAGATTTCTGAAAAATTCGAGAACCTTTCCTGAAAAAATTTTTTCCGTGTACGAATCCATCCTTAAACCGCACACTGGGTGTGCGACACCCGGGGACTTTCAAGTGTGTTCTCCAAGCTGGAATAGGATATTATCTTTTAGAAAAATCATCTTATGTAGCTTTGAAGGCAAATACGTTTCTTAATGATGTATTTAATCTTAATAATTTATAAAAAGTTTTTTAAAACTACTGAAATTACTGGGTGTCATACACCCAGAAATTTTTCGCCTCCAACTTCATAAAGTTATCAAATACACAAAAAGCTAGAATATGGGTGTCGCACATCCAGGGTGCGCTTTAAGGGTTAAGAGTATTTAAGGTTTTTATTTACCAAAACCTATTAAAAACATTTATTTAACTTTTATAAAATATTCTTCTAAATATAAATAATATTTTCAAAAAATACACCCATTGCAGGGCTCGAACCAGTGAAAGTATTTAAAAATACGGACTTTACGGACCAAAAATGAAAAATTACGGACCATTTACGGACCAATTACTGACAAAAATATATAAGAGAACCAGGAGCGTATCCGGAGGGGGGTTTAGGGGTTCAACCCCCCATCCGAAATTTTGGAAAAACATATATGTTAAAGCCTAAATTTCTAATTTTATTCTGAGTACACCTCTCATCAAAGTCCATAACCCCCCCCCCCCCCGAAGATTTTTTTTTGGATACGCCCCTGAAGAGAACATTTTACTTAAAACTATAAATTAGATTTTTTCATAACTAAAAAACATGAAGATATCGATATCTCCGAGTCTTCGACTCGGAGCGATCGATTACTTCGTGTTTTATAATAATTAAAGATAGAATGATAAGCGTTTGTCTGATAGTCCGTAGGTCGTAGGTTCTATACCCGCGTGCGTCAGATTTTTTTTTTTTGGTCACGATTTAATTAAAAAAAGTTAAAATCGTTAAGTAACAATGTTATTTATTAATAATTGAACTTGTTTATTATTAATAAATAATGAATTTATTAACTTAATTTTGAAAAATAAAGGTGAGAGTAAGTTGAGGGCAAAGATGAGGGCAAACGCAAGGGCCACGCAGGGGGCCGACGAGGGCGACCGCGTGGATCGCCCATGCGGGCGCCCTTATCGATCAGCATGTCGTTTCCATGAGGGGCCTCGCCTGGATCACCCACGTGGGCCCCTCCTGGATGTGGACGATCCATGCGGGCCCCCGGCGTGGGCCAACACCACTTTTCCACACGGGCCTGTACAAATTTTATTATTTATGAAAATAATTGAATATTGCGAAGAAATTTATAAAAAAATTTGTAAATAATGAAATTCCTGTAAACTTTTTATTATTTTTTTTGAAAATAATTAAAGGTTTGTGTAGAATTTGAGGAGATTTTTTTTAAATAATTGAATTCTTTTGGAAAATTTTATTATAATAGTATAGATACCTATTAAAAATCATTGAATTGAGGAAAAATTTTGAAAATAATTGAAATTTTTCCAAGAATTTTATTAAAGTTTTTGAAAATCATTGATATTTCGGAGAAGAATTTAATTATTTCTAAAGACAATTGAAATTTTGACGAGAATTTTTAAAAATTTTTGAACATAATTGAATTTTTGCAAAGAATTTTATTACTTTTGAAAATAATTGAATTCCTTCAATCATTTGTAATTTCTCTAAAATTATCCAAATTATATCGTATAGTTTACGTACTTTACGGACCTTTTTCAATCGAATTACGGACTTTACGGACCTTTTTTCGAAAAAACGGACTTTTACGGACTTCAAGCAAAGTTACGGACTTTTACGGGATTTACGGACCTAGTTCGAGCCCTGCCATTGGCTTTTCAAATCAACCTGGTCAGTCTTTGTGTTTTCATACAATTATTGTATTATTAATTAGTATTATTGATCTACAACTTTAATATTCACAGCTGTTAAGTTGTTTTTTCGAAACACATAAATAAATAAATAAAAATTAATTGTGTCTAGTTTACTATCCACAGTTAATAAAATCTTTTGATATAAGATATTTTTTATTATAATATTTATATTTTAACTAGACAGTCAATTATTGTAGGCTATCATTTATACTGATTTCCCTATTATTAATAAATAATTTATTACTTATTATTATTTATTATTAATAATTAATAACTTACTATTAATTATTTATTAGAAATAAGTTGTTATTTTTAACTATCGATTGTTAATTAATTGTTTAAATAATATTTTCAGTTTACGTTCCTGGCGGACTGTTTCGATCGAATATCAGAAGAAGTAAAGTGGGATGATTTGAGCGAATGACAACATGCAAAAAATTAATTACGTTTTTTAATATTCTTTATAAAAACAGAAATTCCTCACTTATATGCATTGTGTATATTGCCCACAATGCATACTAAATAAATTGTCAAAACTTTTTTCCAATACATAGAATATAATTTTACGTTTAATCGACATGGATCTGAGGCAAAGAATTGCTAGATAAAGAAAAAAATTCTAAATAATATAGCAGTTATAATAGAAACTTTTATCAATAATGAGATTAAAGTTTATAAATTTTTAAATTATAAAAACTAGTTAAACATTGTAAAAAAGATTACTTTTTAAAAATAATGTGTTAGTTAAATTTTTACGTTAGGTGCACTTTATTCTTTAATATATATTTAAATATTATATGCAAAGCAGTCTTTCGTTTCCGAAAATAAAATATTAATTATATTATTATTAATGAGGAAGCAGAATAGTATTCTACGTAAGAGAAAAAAGGAATAAAGGCACAACAAATAAATAGTCGCCAATTATTCATAATTCACTTGGCCTACTAGAAAAAAATACGTAATAGTATATTAAGCAACAAGAGGATAAAGAAATTGGCTGCCTTTATTCTCGTGTTACTTACGATATTTTTTATTCCTAATGCACAAAAGCGGCGATTTCAGATAGCAGACGACAGGGAGTAAAAGTCATTCACTTGTTCGACTTGTATAAAAATGGCGGCCGTTTTCTCCCATGGGCAAGAAAAATGCATGTGAACAGCTAATTTTCTTGCCCTTGGGAGAACACGGCCTCCATTTTCATACGGTCGAAGAAATGAATGACTTTCCTCCCTGTCGTCTGCTATCAGAAAGCGCCATTTTTGTGCATGTGGGATAAAAATAAATTTTGTTTACCTTAAAAAATAAAGATATTTCCTTATTAGCATATTTTCAGAATTTTTTGAAGAGAAAATGAATTACCTATTATTATTTTTATTATTACTAACATAGGTGATGAGCCATGAATCATTCTGTTATCCAACTTTTATTTTTCTTTTTTAAAAATTTTTATTGCATTTATTTTTATTTTATTCTCAATTTCACTTATTTAAAATAATCTTTTAAAGCCATACAGAAAAAGTCCTCTCAAAAAGTGGTTTTTCGCTCGTCCTCTTACTTTTAAATAAATTGAGATACCAAGCTGAGATTTTTTTAGGATAATTAGAAGATAGCGAACTGTAGTAGAATCTTTTTCACATCTACAAGTAATTTTGTAAAAAGTGTTAAAACAAATGTAAAAATTGTATTTTTGTGAAATAACGCAAAAGTGACATACACTATAATATAATATAATAATATTAAAGGAGAAAGAAGCTATCAATTATCCGAATCAAATTTTTACAAACAAATTAAATATCTTAAATAATTCTCTATAAGCTCATGGATTTCATATGTATCGACAGCACAGCTATGAATTCAAATACTAGGCTTACCATCTTTAAGAACCTTCCTACGTTATCATTAAAATAATGTAGGAAGGGATAGTATATTTCAAGGAACTCGGAGAGTCTCGGGGTGCATGTAGCTCAGTGGTCAGAGCAGTCTACCGGCAATAGAAAGGTCGTGGGCTCGTATCCCACCATGCTACCGTTTTTTTCTGAGTTCTTTGATAATTTTGAAATTATTAATTAATTTCGAAAATATTTTCCAGATTAAGCAGGTTTCTGTATTCGGGCAGCTGTGCTGTCGATACATATGAAATCCATGAGCTTATAGAGAATTATTTAAGATATTTAATTTGTTTGTAAAAATTTGATTCGGATAATTGATAGCTTCTTTCTCCTTTAATATTTAACTGCCAAATGATAAATTCACTTTCTATAATTATAATATAATAATGTTATTATTATATGATATTATCACTCGGTTGTTATAAATATTTAATAAACATTGAATTTAATGATCATTCCGAGTCAGGTGTATAAAATAAAACAACATTTGTTGTTTTATTTTATACACCTGACTCGGAATGATCGTTGAATTCAATGTTTATTAAATAATAATGTTATATTATAGGGTCATTTGGGGTAAATGTAAACAAGGGGTAAATGTAAACAGTAGATGTTTCAGCTAAATTTACAAATTAAAAAATAAGTACGATGTCAATATTTTTACCTCAGCTCACCTACAAAATGTTCTGAGTATTGCCAATATTTTATTTTGACAATTCGCAATGCCATAGTGTAAGTTATTTTTTAATGCAAAAAAGATTGAAAATCAAATTTTTACTGTTTCGGTATTTTGTCTCGCATTTGCCTAAAAATAAATTTAAAAATCAAACAAAAATATGTAATTCTTCCTTATTAATGCCCTAACAAAAATTGACTTTGATTTTTGATTTTCGTCAATTTAGTTAATAAATAATTAAGTGTTTACATTTACCCCGAGAATTCGAAAACTCGGGTTAAATGTAAACAGAACTTCAACTACATTTTAAAAGAAAATAATTGAATAAATTTGCTTCTATTTTACAATTTCATTAATTTGGCAATGTAAAATTACATAGAAAAGGAAATTAGGTCCTCTTTGAAAAAAAAAAATTTATTAAAAAAAAAATTTTTTTTTTTGAAAATTTGATCAATTTTTAAAAATATTTTTAGGTTCATCCGCCATTTTGAAAATTTAAAATTTGACTTCAAATTCGTATTCAGCGACCTCAAAAATCCCCTAGTAGCCAGATTCAAGCAAATTTGATCAATTTTTAAAAATATTATTTTTAGGTTCATCCGCCATATTGGATCCACCATTTTGAAATTTAAAAATTTGATTTTAGATTCTTAGTCAGCAACCTTAAAAAATTTTTTTTATTAAGTTGAATGAAAATCTATTAAAATTTGTTCAATTTATTCAAGTTTTTACATTACTAATTTTGTAATGGTTGATTGTTTATTTTATATGATACATTATCAGTCAACTGGTTGATTTACTATACATCTACGAAGAATTTTTTTTTAGTTTTTCCATCCCCTAAAACAGTAGTATACTTGAAATAACTTGTTTCTTAAACATCGCTTAACTACAGTGGTGTTTACATTTACCCCGAATTTTAGGAAAATTTCAAAATCTCGGGGTAAATGTAAACAGTCAGTTTTAGGCGATTCAGGTGCATCAATATTTTTTTGTACCTCATAAAATTTTTCTAGGGAACTGTAGTAACAAGTTCATGCAAGAAAAAAATCCGTTCGTTTTACCTTTTAACAAAAAAACTAATGTTTTTGGTGAAAAATAGATATTCCGATTGCATTTACCCCAATTATTGACCCTATAATATTAATATAACAATCCTTCTTCATTAAAATAAGTTTTTACTAGATTATTGTATAATAACGAAAAGAGCGCACTACAGTTTAGCTTCTTCTTTTTATTCCACAAAAATTCCCTAAATATTTTTTTCTTAAATAAGGAGTAATTTACAAATCCCTTTATCTTTTACATTATGTTTAAATACATCTAAAAATAATATTTTTTTCTAATTTCTACTTTTTAAGGAAAAGATATTATCTTTTTCATAAAAAGTAGATATATTTATTAAATAGTATATGTACAATATTCATTAAATAAATTATACTTTATATATGTTTATTTCAAGAAATCCTTTATAACGATTCAAGTACGCAAATCTAAAGATTAAAAAATTAATTTTAAAATGTAAATAATATAATAAATAATTTTATAATTGTGCCATAGAACTGTTAGTAATTCTCAAAAGAAATATTATAATTTTTTTATATTAAACTTTATTCTGCCGATGTTATATATTAGAAAGTAAAACGGTAAATTTTTTCGGTTAAATAGTGCCATCATTGAAAAATACTTTTTTAAAGAGATGTAATCAAACTCATTTTTTTATTTGTGAGCAAAAAATGTTTGGATAACAGAGTGATAAAAATTTTGGTATTAGTATTCTATCATACGCACGTAGGCGAAAGGTGTACGAGATGATCCCCTGGGGCAAGATGATCCTTTTGAATTTTGGAGAGCCTATTAGCGTCAAAGTCAAAGTCAAACTGTCATGACAACACGCGTCATTAAAAAAATTCTATTGGAAAAAATAAAAATTTTATACTTTTGATCTAAGGAAAGCTTAACTTTGGGTTTAGATAACTTTTGTTGTAGTAGCTAAAATTCCATGTTTCTTGTACTCACGGCTTCAGTATCTCTTCAACTAAGTGTTCTGATTGGTATTATGGAATAACAGAGCTCGTAGGTTAAGTTACGAACAAATTACAAAATAGTGGCATTTGGGGCAAGATGATCCCTCAATGGGTGTACAAGATGATCCCCCCTGATTCCCATGTATTTCGTCTCACCTCAAAGTGAATTTTCTAGTATTAATAAAAAATTCAATTTTTTTTGCATCTTATATGTTTTTATATGAAAACTAACTTATCTAAAACAAAAAATTGACGTCTACATCTATTTTATTAATTTTCTCGTTGTAGACAATGCCTCGTAATTATAAGATAGGAAAACGAATCATGGTGAGTGGTCAAAAGCGTTTATGGCCTTAATAAAGTATATTTAATAGTGATACACTGTTATTCCTTCAATTTAGACTCCTTTTCCAATAATTGGGGTAAGATAACCCTACGGATCATCTTGCCCATTCCATGGGGATCATCTTGGACACCCCGGTGTCCAAGATGATTCTTTTGTAAGGTTTCAGAAAAATTAAATCTAATAGTAAAATATTAATTAGCTGCAAATATTTCAAATCAGACTAGTTAGATAGATTAATTATCTAGTAGTGCGTACAAAAAAAACTCGAATATGTTGATTTTTCTTTGAATAATAGGTTTTTTCTCTTAGGGGGATCATCTCGTACACCTTTCCCCTACTGTTTAATATATTTCACAAATTTATATTTGTGAAATATACACAGCAAAATATGTCTGCTTATAATTATTTTACGAGAATTACTTAAGTCCTCTTAATTAAAAATGTCCAAATTTACCCAAAGTTTAGTTTAAATTTTAATAATTTAAAACGAAAAAAGAAGAAAAGTTACTAATTTACAAATAATTCCTCAAACTGAATTATAAATTTGAAAAGTATTTTTTAGTACGTAATAAATTATTTCTTTTGGTTTTTAATTAATTGACTAAAAATTA